TGCCCTGACCCACGTGCAGGACCTTGCACTTGGCCTTGTTGAACCTCATGACGTTCACACAGGCCCATTTCTCCAGCTTGTCCAGGTCCCTCTGGAAGGCATCCCGTCCTTCTGGTGTGTCAGCCACACCACTCAGCTTGGTGTCATCTGCAAATTTGCTGAGGGTGCACTCAATCCTGCTGGCTATGTCACTGGTGAAGATATTAAAACAGTACTGGTCCCAGTATGGACCCCTGAGGGATACCACTTGTCACCGATCTCCATCTGGATCAGGCCCTGCAGTTGAAGAGCTCAATTAACGGTAGCATATTTCACAGATTCCTTGAGAAGCGTGGGCAGAATATGGTTATTTTCATTCTCATTCAAGTCATCCAATAAGTGCTTATTCTAGGACTCCTGTTTTAGACTTCTACTATATCTGACAGCAGATGTAATAGGTTAATCCTATTTAGTCCTTTGGTTTACTTCACGCAGACCTAGTATCTCTACATTAATTGCTTTGATGCTCTGTATTTTGATAATGTAGAAGAATCATGCCCCAAAAATCTCCTGATGGGTTTTTTTTTCATATATAGGAATGTATACATGTATCTAGGAAGAAGACATCTCCTCCATTAATGAACAGGGTAGATAAAATTTTCAACAATGTTAACTACTTCCGTTTGTGGCAATATTTCCATTTCTAGACTACTTCCTAAAAATCTCTGGGTTGCTTAAATAAACAAACTTAAATACAGTTTACCCATGATGTCTGCATTCAGTCTTCTGTTTAAATTTTTTTTTTACAGTACATATTACTATTAATTAAAGAGCCTTCTCCATCATGCTTTTGTGCCACCTTGTCTTCTGTTTTGATTTTCCTGTCATGTGTTTAGAGTAGGACCTTTTTATAACTGGCTTATTTTTCACTTCTCCAGAAGAGCAAGATAAGTTAATGACTTTATACCAGGGATGGCCTGTTTCAGAAAGAAAAGCTTACTCCATCCTAGCATTCTCATTAACACTCTATCAGAATTTCGTATGAATTAGTGTTATTGGCTGTTGGGTTTTTTTCAATTCAAATGACATGGCATGCTCGTGATTTAGCTGGAGCTTTTTTCTTTTTTTTTATAATATTCAGGACTACTTGTAGTATCAAAAAAGTAAAGGTAGAATAATTAGAACTGAAAAATAGAAATAATATTTTTTATTATCTTATGTAGTTTAGCCAGCTATACAAATTCTGTCTGTGCACTTGAAAGGTGTTAGTGGCTACTTGCAAGTAATTCAGATTTGGGTATCTATGGCATTTCCATTTGTTCCTTAGTACATGTTTTTACAGAGCATTATGGCTTACAGCAATGTCTGTTCAAATAGTATATCTTTGGGAAAGTGATGCTGCTTCTTCATCTGTGACTGATACCTATCTGTGACACTTCCTGACCTCAGGGGATCAAGCATGCACTCTGTTATCTAAGTTGCAGGTGAGAGGGCTTTTTGATTATTACATGTTTGCTATATAACACCCCTTCTTCTCCAGGGCTGTATGCCTGAAATGAGGGTACACTCGGTTACCTTTGAATATGGTGGAAGTTGTGCTTAGAATCAGGGTTTAAATCTGCAGAGCAGATTCATGACACTTTTTTGGTGAACAATGTCATGTTCTTACCTATTTGCTCCAAAGTCTTACAAAACTTAAACCTTTCTGAGGTAAAGTGTAAATAAAAAAAACACTTGTGATATCTAAACCAAGTAATACAGTTAAAAATATCTATCAGACACAGGTGAAAAAATGAAAAAAAAAAATAAAATTCCCACTTCTATTTAACCTGGGCATAGCAAGTTGAAATTAGAAAGCTCTAAGCCTTACCCAGCTAGTGCATTAATTTAAGAAAAGACAATAGTAGTTAATATTCTTGGATAGGTGATTTTTGAATATATTTTGCTGTCAGTGCCATTTCCCTATTGAGTCATTGTGTGTATATGGCTCGGTTATGACTAGTGAAGGAATTGAACTATGCCTTCAGTTGTTCCCTGTGCTTCTTTGTATTTCAGGTGGGTGACAAGAAGGAAGGGTAGTTCAGATAGTTTTGGGAGCTGGGATGGCTGAGGACGTACTGATCAGCTAAAGAATTCCACCTTGTGGTGTTTGCCCCTGGGTTGAATGTGTGCAGACACTACATCTTAAGAAAGACCTTGAGCTGAGAATCTTCATATCTTTTCCATTTCAAAGATAACTTCTGTTATTTTCAGTTCTAAAGGAGATTCTTGGTCATATTAAGAGAGATTATAGAAATCTTAACTACATTTATTTTAAAAGTTAGTGCACTTGTGTTTAATTTAAGCATGTTCTTAAATGCCGTGTTGGGCTGACATGAGGTCTTCTATGTGGTTGATGAAACTGTTTGTGTTCTGTAGGTGTAGTACCAAAACGTTTAGCTTTAGGAAGATTAGTTATAAAAAGTGTATAGAAAAGGGAAGAAATGCTGTCGGTACAGAACATCACATTTGCTGCTCTGTACTAGACTTCTTACCCTGTGGAAGTGTTAGGGAATGCATGTGCAAAAGTCAATTAAGTCTAGTAATTTAACAAATTATAAAAGACCTGTGATAGAAGTGTTGTGTGATTACAGGTTTGTGCATCTGTATGCTAGTGCTAAATACCTCACAACTTGAGGATAGGAAAAAATTAACTCTTGTCCTAAGGCCTGAGCAGTGCTCTCATAGCCTCGTGCTCTTGGCTGCTTCAGAGCCCCCCATGCAGAGACAGCACTGCACCCCGCTGCCTGGGCTCGTCTGGCACGACTTGTGTGCTTCCGAGCTCGTTTTACCAGATCGTCAGAAATCTGCCCTGCATCCAGCACTACTGGAGCAATTTAGGTTGGGGAGAGTGCCAAGAGCCAGCCAGAGAGCTCTGAAGTCTGTCAGACTTTGGCAGCCGGTTGTGAGTGGTGATCCCCAGGGCTCAGTTTTGGGTCCGGTCTTGTTTAACATCTTTATCAATGATCTGGATGAGGGCATTGAGTGCTCCCTCAGTAAGTTTGCAGATGACACCATGTTGGGTGGGAGTGTCGATCTGCTTGAGGGTAGGAAGGCTCTGCAGAGGGATCTGGACAGACTGGATGAATGGGCCGAGGCCAACTGTATGAGGTTCAACAAGGTCGAGTGCCAGGTCCTCCACTTGGGTCACAACAACCCTGTGCAACGCTACAGGCTTGGGTAAGAGTGGCTGGAAAACTGCCCGGCAGAAAAGGACCTTTGGGTGTTGGTCGACAGCCAGCTGAACATGAGCCAGCAGTGTGCCCAGGTGGCC